AGACAGTATGACCTCAAGAAAAACGCGGCCACTTCTTACCTTCAAGTTCACCTTCAGGGCTTGATTACTCAATATGTGGTCGTTGTTTGACATTACTGTGATCAGTATTGTTGTTGGTGTCCTGGTCACCATTCATTTCATTATCAACTCTCAACGGTAATGACAGTCGTGTGTGGGCCTATATGTGTTCTCATTTTCCAAATCTCAAGACTTCACCACAAATAAGTATTTCGGTATGATCTCTTGTTATCATATTTGTGTCCCTTTTTTATTTGCAAACATGCCCAAATATTGCATTCGCAAGGCGCACATCCACAGGGACACCCCCCCCCCCCCGTTCTCTATTTTTTCGGATAGATGCGCAAACAGATACACAAGCATATCCCGTAATGAATTACAATTACCATAATGCTGATAATGACAATGATATTGTTAATATCGGTCATAGGATGATAGTAGAATGAATACGATTACAATGTAGCATTAATAAGAACCAGAATATTGATAATAATGATAATGATAATAATAATAATGATGATGATATTAATAATGATGGTAATAATAACGATAACAATAATAAACAATATCAGTATTAATAATATAAATAATAATGATAATTATAATAATAATATAAATAATAATGATAATGATAATTATAATAATAATAATAATAATAATGATAATGATAACAATAGTAGTAGTAGTAGTAGTAGTAGTAGTACCAGCAGTAATAGTAATAGCAGTAGTAGTAATAATGATAATAATGATTATAATAAACAATATTAGAAATAACAATGAAAATGATAATGATTATAATAAGTAAATGATAATGATAGTGGTAGCAGTAGCAGCAGTAGTAGTAGTAGCGTAATAAAAATAACAATGATATTAATGACGATGATAATAACAGTAGCGGGAACAACAGTAACAGCTGCCTGGGTGAAGGTGCGAGGCAAGAAGGAGTACTTGCTGAACCTGTGTGACCAGGCAAGAAAAAATCGGAAACCAGGTGCCCGTTTTTTGTGACCAGGTAATG